TCTCATTAATAAAAAAATTCTTACACATTTATGATCGATTAATTAGTCTTTTGCAAAATCCTGAGGCAACTCCGAACATTAGCGCCACAATATGGAACAGTATTGTAAGTAATAATGACGATAGTTCTGTACTTAAAGCTCCTGATGCTATCCATAACGTTGCTGGCGAAGAAACAATCCCACAACGTTTAATGGGAATTGCATTCAAAGTTGATCCGGATTTTTCCAATGTCGTTGCTGAATTTTCTCATGTAATCCAAACAGTAAGTTTATATAATATTTTATTTTAATATTTTGTTAATTTATTTTCGTTGCTCTTTATAACAACTTTTTTATATTTGCAGTTATATAAATTTGCAAGAAAAGGAAAATTTCCATTAAATCGTTATATAGTTATCAGGGTCGTAAAATCCTCTGATGCATTATTATCCAATACCTTCGATCATGATCCAAAAACTTTATATTGTTATTTTGATTTTGCATCAGTTATTGGTACTCCCGGATGGGAAGAATTTACACAATTCATGGCGCAGAGATTTTTTGATAAATACAAAGCAAAGTAAGGATTTACCTTTTTTTTTTTTATAATAAATTTCATTAATTAATTAATTGTACAAACTTTTCTATAGACCTCATTGGGGTAAAGAATGGGAATAGGGAATATATTCCAAATGTAAACTCTTATCTTTCTGGCATTTTATCAGCTCAAATTAAACAATTTGAGAAAGTGCGTGCAAAGTATGACCCTGGTAATATTTTCTTTGATAATAAGTCTTTGCAGGATATATTTAGTCGTGCTTTATATTCATGACGATAATAAGTTCAGTTTGCAACTCAACAATATTACGTAGAACTAATTAATCGATCATAAATGTGTAAGAATTTTTTTATTAATGAGATTTGCAAATCAGCAATCATTAATGGGATACCAGTATGTCAATATGTAAGTAGAAAATGTTCAAAACTAAGCGCAAAGTAAAATAATTGATATGGCTGATGCTGAAAATTGCTGATGAAAAAAATTGGGCCTATTTTGATATTAAATTTTAAGAAATTTTTGAGGTGTTTTTTATCGTTTTTTTTTAGGATAAGAATTTATAATTAAAGAGTATATGTGGATTTAGCAGGACTTAAATTTAAAATCGAGACCTAATATTCTGCATCAGCTACTTTCAGCATCAGCCGCGACAACAATTGTAGTGTATATAGTGTAGCAAAATTGCTACAGCCTTTTATGAGTTAAATGTAAAAAAAATATAATATTTTAACAAAGTAATAGAAATACTATCTTATCAAAACTATTTCAAAACTGCAACTTGTTATAATAAGATTTTGCTATGTTAAAAATTAAATATAAAAATTATAATACAAATATCAAATATTGCGATTGTTATCATAGTGATAAAAAATTTAATTCAATTTAAGGGTAGGGTGTATGTAGATCATTTTTCATATAATCTACGTTGTATGGTGCGATCACTCTAAAGACATCCAAAATCGTTATTTCTCAGCAAATAAGTGCAATTTGTAAAAAAAAAATACGTAGCCTGATAGTTACAATAAAGATTTACAAAGTTACGTATCTTTTTTTACAAATTTGTACTCAATTAATGAGAATAATGAGAATAACGATTTATAAAAAAACATTTGTAAAAAATTCAGGTGCACTGCCACACTAATGATCGGCGGGTTATGCACTTATAGCTAATTGGTTGCTATGCATATCCGCCACAGATAAGACCCCTTGAAATAGCATAAAGTGGCACAGATTTGATGTGACTAGAGTGCTCGCACCATATATTGGATTTTTTTTATATAATAAATAAACAAATGCTTCTAATAAAACCTTTTAATATCTTAACCAATTTGAATAAAAAATTTATATAAGGCGACTTGAAATTAAAACCTCGTTTAACGTTATTTTTTTAAAAAATTTGCATGGGGGAGGGGAAAAATTAAACAAACAAT